GTGGGAGGGGGGAGAGCCAGTTACACTTGAAAAAATAAGACTGGCGAATGACTACTGGACCTTTAGAAGCCGCGCTCGGGATACAGCTTCACAGATCAAACAACCCCCTGTGCAGCCCCAAATAAAGTAACGGCTTCACCCTGTCCACACGCAATAAAGTGCTAACAATCTTCCTGACGGGAGCCAGAAATACAAGCGTGGTTAATAATACCAAGAAACAGAAACAAACACAATATTTGTCTCCTGCTCAATTCCCTAGCTGTGGTTACACAGAAGGTAGAGACCGCCTTCAAGATCTTTCTCTGGAGTCTGTTTAACTCCATGTTATGGGTTTAAGGATTTAACATAATAGCAATAAAATACTGCAAAAGAGGAAAATGATATAATAGCAACTATAGTGAGAAGCTGCTGCTTTTTTGCCTGTTTCTCTTCTTTTGATCAGCTGCTGCCACCACCACGGAGGATAGGAAGCCAAGAGGACCAGAATTGCTAAGAAGGAAACAACAAAAGTTCACTTACCCATCCTTTGTCATCCAAAAACCTTCGCCCACCTCTCTCAGTTTTCTTCTTCCTTCACCCCTTGTGCTGAAGTCACCGCCACCTTCATGTCACAGTGCGGCTGTCATTCACACCATCCTGACCCCGCATGTGAGCTAGTCCCTCCATACAAACTTCCCCGGAGAGCGGAGAGCGCAGGCAAAAAACATTTACATATGTATTTAATAAAAACTGGCACCGGGTGGGATGGGGGGATAAGGAGAAAGATGCCGGGAAGGGGGTGGGGGGTGTCTCTAGGCTCTGAAGACCATTGTGAAATTCACCAGAGACCCGTCAGCAGTAATTGGCAATCTGTGGGAAATAGCTACTGCTCCTCTTGAAGGTAACCAACTTCTCTGTGAAAAGAGAGAGAAAAATCTTCAGAATACCTGGCATTCCTTATTGTGCTGGCTTTTGCCATTCCCAGAAAAAGCAATTCATCCTCTAGATTTTCAGTTCTTGCTTCAAGTAGGCCTCCTGTGCTGTGTGAGACCCCAGTTTAAAAGCTACGCAGGCTAGGTTTATCCATTTAGCCGGTCAGGTTTAAAGTGTTTTGTAGCTGTGCTGAGAGGCAGCCCTTGTCTAATTCAGAAGGCTTTCCAGAGACTGATGATGCTCAGAGCTTGTTGGTGCTAATGCTTGAGTTTGTGATACACTGAGTGCCCTCCGCTGGAGAAAACAGATTGCACATTAAAGACGGGAACAAGTGAGCCTGTCAGTGGTGTGCAGCCTTCCCTTCCTCTGAAAGGGGAATTAAAGGCACAGGATCACTTTTTTCCCCCTCTCTCTCACCACTAATCTAAATGATCACAGCTTTATGTCAAAAGGTTATTTTCAGTGATAGCAAATATTAAGTAAACATCTGCATCTGTAGTTATTCTGCATTCGTAGTTTGTTTTCATTTTATGTTTTAAGTTGCCTAAAGTTGATTTTTTTCTCCCTCCAATAAACGTCACAGGTCATTTATTTATTTGCATGTTGATTGATTGATTTTAGTGATATACATCATTTGCATTTTATTTTTGTTGAAATTTGATTTTTTTATTTACTTTTTTAAACCAAACCACATAAGGAAGCCATCATACTCAAGGGGGAAAAAATGATTTCATCACTTCTAAAGATAGTGGCAGAGTGGTGCGAGTTGGGCGGCTAACCATAAAGTCAGCAGTTTGAAGCCACTAGCTGCTCCTTGGGAGAATAACTGAGTTTTCTACTCCGGAAGGAGTTACAGTATCAGAAGTAACAGGAGCAATTCTACCCTGTCTTATAGGGTCACTTCAAATAAGAATCCACTTAAGGTCAGGGAATTTGGGTTGGGTTTTTGTTTTTTAAAGATAATTACATTGTTTAAAGTCAAATACTCATATTTCCAACTTATCAACTAGAATCTGCAATCTCAGGATATTTTTTGTAAAGTCTAGATCATTGCACTTTAGAAATTGTATAAGGCTTATACTATAATCCTTAGAACAGTATTAGAATAGTATTAAGGATAATAGCATTAATACTATTTTACTAAATGTACAACAAATCAGACAGACCTAGATAAGAGGATGTTTTCAAATTGACATCAATTATCCCAGTGACTTTCCTCAAAGTAGTCTTCATATAATTCATAGTATTTGTTATGAAATTTATTTACCTTAATGTGCAATTCAAGAAAATCTAAAACTATTAAAATATAAGAATTTTATTATGCGTCTCTATAATTTATGAAAGCTTGCTCAAAATTATGAGGAATGAAATGATAAAATACATAAGATGTATCTTAAAAAAAGAAAAAAGAAAACTTTCACTTTATTCGAACTTGTGCTTAACTTTGAAGAAATGTCAACAACGAAAACAAGTCCTCGCCTCTTTTGTTTTCTCCATTATCCTCTGAAAAATAGCAACTTTTGGTGCAATCCAGAATGAACTGAGCATACAGAGACAGTCTGCCAAGTAAAATATTAAATCTGTTGTAGCACGTGTGAGTTTCAATGGATTTTACTTAAGAATCTCAAATGTCCTTGAATTTCTGCAAATGAGTATATTTTGATATGTCCCTTGATTTTAGATTATCTGCCAAACTACTAGTTGTTTAATGGATCTTACCCTTCCAAAGGGGTTCTAGTAGAAGTGAATAAGCACCAGGCTCCTAACCTAAAGTACAGCAGTTCAAACTCACCAGTCTCTCCATGGGAGAATGTTGTGGCAATCTACTCCTGTAAAGATTTCCAGCCTCGGCAACACAATAGGGCGGTTCTACTCTGTGTAGGGTTGCTATGAGAGGCAATCAACCCCATGGAAAAGTGTTGGTTTTTTGTTTGTTTGTTTGTTTGTTTTATTTAACCTATGGAGTTCGGTTCTACTTTGTGGGACACAGGTCCACTTATGAGTTGAAATTGATTGAAAAGCAATGTTTGACTTTTAGTTGTGTATCATATAAAGGGAAAATATAACTAGACTCTTTTTTTTTTAATAGATCATCATAGGCAAGAAGTTGATGGGTAGTGTAAATAGGTAACTGCAAACTGAAAGGCTGAAATTGAGCCTTCAAAACCACCCACAGGTACCATGGAAAGAAGTTGGGACGGTAACCTGCTGCTGAAATGTTAAAGTGCAATCACCCAGTGAGTGTAGTTCTACTTTGCATATGTGGAGCCACTATTAGTCTGAATCTACTAGATGGCAACTAACAACAATGCCATATACAATTGTTTAATACCTAAAACTTCTTAAAGAACCAGAAGGGAGAGATACCCCAAATATAGCTCTGTGTGTTAAGAGATATCTAAATTTCTATTTTAGAAGTGTGTGCCATTTTATATAGTCCCTTTCCTTTCATTTGCTTGAATAAAAGACACAAGAACATTTATTGATAACAGTTTGGGGAAGCCCATGATATTATCTACATTTGTAATGTATGGACTGGCAAAAATGAAAGCTTTGCTTAAAGTATTAACATATAATAAATACACAAAAATGATATACATATAAGTGTTTTAGGGGATACAATACAAAGAACAACAAGCCCCATCTCAATATCTAATGGTAAGGGATTAATTAAGGGAATATTATATATTTTACATTTATAGACTAGACTGCATTCTTTCATTATTTTTTAAAATGTTTGTATTTACTGACAGAAAATGATGACAATAATGTATAAATTACATAGCTTGGGGACAAAATAAATATAGATATTACAGAAAGATGGTAAAAGGGAGTCTATTTCTGTACGTTGTTTTATCTGCATGAGGTAAAAATAAAATGTTAACAGATCATCCTGAGAGGTACATTTTGGATATATTTAATGTCATCTATGATTTTTCTTTTTTTAATCTATCTACATTTTATAAATTTTTTATATAATGAATATGTATTATATGTAAATATAGACACACTTATCTAGATATATATGTATATGTACATATATTTCTTTTTGTTGCATGAATAAAAGATATAAGATCATCTATTGATAGTAGTTTGTGGGCACCCATAATGCTACCCACATCTATAGTGTAATAACTGGCGAAAATGGCACCTTATTTTGCAGTATTAAGATCTAATAGATGTTTCATTCCAAAGGAGTTACTGGATCTTATGCAGAATTTGAAAGGTTATGATCAAAAGACTACTAAACCAAACTGAGAAAAAGCAGTTACTGGTTCCTTCAACACATTGTGAGGATATAACTGGATCAAGAGACTTGAGAGTGGCGGAAGATGTGTAGAACACTTCTTACTATTACTTGCCTTCTCCCATCTCTTATCCCTCCCATGTGAAAGAGATGTGTATAATTTTCAGCTTCTCACTTACTGCCATTGAATTGTTTCTAACTCATAGTGACCCTATAGGACAGGGGAGAATGAACTATCACTGTGGGTTTCTGAGACTTTAACTGTTTGAGAGAGTAGAAAGTCTCATCTTCCGCCTATGTAGGCCCTGGTGGCTTCCAACTGTTCACCTTGAGGTTGGCAGCCCAACATGCAACCAGTATGACACCAGGGCTCCCTCTCTTCAATTCCATTGTAGGGAAAGGAATTTCTAGAGACTACTTCAAGAACTGGGTGTGTGTTGTTTTCAGCAGTGAGCCTGACAATTGAAAGGGTCTGATTTCTGTTTGGAAAATCCAGAGAATTGAGGCCTGAGTTGTCAGAGCAGAGTAACTTAGTGCTGCAGTAGTTTTATTCCATTTGTCTCTATAAAAACAGGTACAATTGTTTTCCGTGAGAGAGAGAGTGGGTGTGTGGAAGAACAAGTCAAGGTAGAATTAGCAGGTCCCATCCGAATGGGACCTCCACCGAAGGAGTCTATGAGTACATTACCAAATAAAACAAAAACAAATAAAAGGGGTGGGTGGGGGGCAACCATAACAAAACAAACACACTAATCCACAGTGGCCAAGCACCAGACAATGAAGAAAACTATAGATTATTTTTTTATGATGGTACCTAATGGAACTAAGAGATTAAGAAATAACTTTAGACAATTGCTAGACACAGATGTTACAAATCCTACTTATTACAGTGTTAATCAAGCAATGTTTCCTGCATAGATCTGAAATAATATTTGTTAGATGCAGGAGGAGGTAAGTAAAAAGGGAAGAATTTAACTTGACTTCATATTTCACCTAGGTAACAGATGGCCCACTGCAACCGGTCTCACCTAAGGAGTAGGGGAGAGAAATTCCTAGCATACATGAAATATTTACTCCTGAATAATATCCAGATTTGACACCTCATTTACTGACTTGAGACTTCATGTATTACAACAAAGAGACTTTTTGTTACATCAAAGAGCACTGGATAATTTATTTTATTTTGATTTTTATTAAAACATTGTTTTATCGGGGATTCTAACTACTCTTGCTACAATCCATACACGGATTGCATCAGGCATGATTGTACATATGTTGCCTTCATTCTTTTCTAGACATTCACTTTCTATTGAGTCTTGATATCAGCTCCTCTTTATTTCACTCCCTCCCCCAAGCCCCCAAACCCTCATGTAACCTTGATAAATTATAAATTATTATTATTATTTTCATATCTCACACCAACTGCTGTCTCCCTTCACCCACATTTTCTGTGTTCTTACCCCTGGAGAGGAATGTATGGTTATGTGTCAATCATTGTGATCATTTCCCCCTTTCTCCATTCCTCTCCCTCTCTTCGCCCTACCCTTCTGGTATCACTCACAATTCCCACTCCTGTTCCTGGATTCTGTGTGTCATAAACTCATGTCTCTTATGTAAACCTGTGTACCTTCTCTGGTCTAGTCTGAATTGAGAAGCAGCACTGGTGTCATGATAGTGGGGTGTGAGGAAGCCTCAAGGAACCAGAGGAATATTGTGTGTTTCATCAATGCTTTATTGCACCCTGGTTGGCTCATCCCTTCCCTGTGGTCCCTCTGTGGGGGAATTGTTCCACTGTCTACAGATGGACTTTTAGTCTCTGCTCCAGCTCCCTTTATTCTTAACAACATGTTTTTGTTTGTTTTATTTTGTGTCTTCTGATGCCTATTACCCAATACCTATGTCTCCTCATGGTTAAACTGGCGGTGTGATTCTTCCATGTGGGCTTGTTGTTTCTCTGCTGAATGGCTGCTTATTTAACTTCAAGACCTTAAGGCCCCAGATGCTGTGTC